AGACTGAAGGCTTTTTACCGTCATGCATTCTATGCATGAAGGTAAAAAAAAACCTGTGTGCTGCTCCCCCCATAGCACCCCCTAATGCTCACCTGAGCCCCCTCTTGATCCAGCGATGTGCGCTGCAGTCAATCACAGCCAGTAAGCCAATGAAGAGAGAGTGGGGGCAGGGCTGAGCTGAGGCTCTAGGTGTCTTACGCACGCATGAAGTGGGGAACGAGAGCAAACATGCACTAGTGCCCCCATAGCAAGCGGCTTGCTATTGGGGGGTACTGATCAGTATGAAGCCAGGAGCACCAGCGGGGGAGCTGAGAAAAAGAGGATCAGAGTAGCTCTGTGTAAAACCACTACACAGAGCAGGTAAGCAGGATGAGTTGGTCATTTAAAAAACCAAAGCAAAAAAAAAAAACCCAACAAACAAACCTTAGGTCCACAAACACACTTTTAGGGGCGTCAGGGTTTTTTTGGGGGGGTTATTTTTACTGCTTCCAAAATGGCTATCCATGTTATGCCATGTGCACACATAGACTTTTAAAAGTTTTTAATTGCAGTAGCTTTTACCAACAGGAAAAAAAAAAACCCAGGGCCAGTGCGTCAAGGAACAGCAGCGTTTTGGCAGAAAAAACACTTGACACACCTAAAAGCACCTAAGGCGTGTTAATGCTAGGCGCATTTAGCGCTTGAGCGTTAAGAAATTTCAATGGCCATAATAAATTATTATTCTGGCCAATTAAATGAATGATCGCCCAAGCGCATGACAACGCGCCTTAATGCTTGCAAATGCTTTAGACACTTTGACAAACAGGAGTTTTTTCTGCCAAAACGCTGCTGCCAAGAGGAGGAGCGTTTTTAAAACGTCCTGTCTGAATGAGGCCTTAGAATCGCTTTTAAGGGATTACTTGGTGGCCCTTTAGGGGATAAGGATTTTGGAGGAGGCTGTGGAGCACTGTGGGGGGCACTGTGGAGGTTGGGGGCACTATGGATGGCTGGAGGCTCTGCAGCAGGCTGGGGGGTACTGTGGGATGCTGGGAGCACTGTAGCAAGTTAGAAGACTCTGTGTAGGCTAAGGGATCTGCAGTTGGCTGAAGGCCCAGGATTAGGGTTTCCACCTCATCCCTTTAAAACTGAACACATACTAATTACACAGGTTCTGTGGCTGATTAAGGTGGTAATTAAACTCACTTAGTGCCTTATCTGCATTAAACTAGCCTCAGAACCTGTGTAATTAATACGTGTTTGGTTTTAAAGGGATGAAGTGGCAACCCTGCCCAGGATAGAGGAGGCCATGGCCCGTTGTTTGAGAACCAATGATCTAGTGTAACAACATCAATAATACCAGTGAAAAGAACAGCAATACTACAGCAAAACAACACAGTAGAATACGGATTATGACCAAAACAATCATAAGGTTTAGCAACCTTAAAACTTTAAAAGGTCAATTTTGTCCAGCTTTGGATAAAAGAAGCAGGGGCACTTACAGTATCTCACAGAAGTGAGTACACCCCTAACATTTTTGTAAATATTTTATTCTATCTTTTCATGTGACAACACTGAAGAAATGACACTTTGCTACAATGTGACGTAGTGAGTGTACAGCTTGTATAACAGTGTAAATTTGGTGTCCCCTCAAAATAACTCAACACACAGCCATTAATGTCTAAACAACAAAAGTGAGTACACCCCTAAGTAAAAATGTCCACATTGGGCCCAAAGTGTCAATATTTTGTGTGGCCGCCATTATTTTCCAGCACTGCCTTAACCCTCTTGGGCATGGAGTTCACCAGAGCTTCACAGGTTGCCACTGGAGTCCTCTTCCACTCCTTCATAACAACATCACGAAGCTGGTGAATGTTAGAGACCTTGCGCTCCTCCACCTTCCATTTGAGGATGCCCCACAGATGCTCAATAGGGTTTAGGACTGGAGACATGCTTGGCCAGTCCATCACCTTTACCCTCAGCTTCTTTAGCAAGGCAGTGGTCATCTTGGAGGTGTGTTTGGGGTTGTTATGTTGGAATACTTCCCTGCGGCCCAGTCCCTGAAGGGAGGGGATCATGCTCTGCTTCAGTATGTCACAGTACATGTTGGCATTTATGGTTCCCTCAATGAATCGTAGCTCCCCAGTGCCGGCAACACTCATGCAGCCCCAGACCATGACACTCCCACCATCATGCTTGACTGTAGGCAAGACACATTTGTCTTTGTACTCCTCACCTGGTTGCCCCACACACACGCCTGACACCATCCAATCCAAATCAGTTTATCTTGGTAGCTCCGTAGGGAGATCACCACAATAACATAGTTAGTACAGTCAGCTCAGTTTTCTGTCGGCCAGCCAGCTAGGATGAAGGAAAAAAAAACTGCCTGTGTGTACCAGGCTTAACAGAGAACTGCGAACAATGTCACTGATAACAGAAAGCTGGGTTTACACAAATGTCCACCAAAATATTCGTACAAACACTCCTACAAACACTCTTTCTATATTTGATGAGTGGACGAATGTTGTTCTATAGCACTTCAAATGTTTGTTTCCTTTTAACATTTTATTTGGAAATCAATGTATTTTCCGAAACAAAAACCATATTCATTCTTAGTAATCTCAAATACAAAGTATATGGCGAGCGCTGAAAGTTAAATGCGGCAAGTACAAAAGGCAAAGGCAACAAAACCCACAAAACATACACAACAAAGTGCAGCGCTAAACATTAAATATCATAATTAATTATAAAGTGAACAATTGTGAACACCTAATTGCAAAACATGCGGAACAGTATAAGTGTGATACATAAATGTCCATCCAGTATTCAAGTGGAGCATACAGAGTGTCCATGGTACTACAAGGCACAGCAATACCAGTGTTGAATGCTCAAAACAGTGCTCTAAATCCAGTGAAGGAATCCACCACCTCTAATGGATATGCACTCACCAGAAAGCTACAGGTAAGTAGCATTAATGTTGATCACATAGATGGAGATCTCAAGGCCCCTTAAAGTGCAGACTGGACTTCTCCACCAAACACTATTAGGTGGACTCGGCAGCGTGACGTCAGCACATAAGGCTCCGGGGTGGAGCCTTATGTGCTGACGTCACGCCGTCGCAGCCAGAGCTCAGAGCAGCAGCCATCTTGGTATGTTTTATACATGCTTACACATTTATCTACGTGGATTTTATTTTATGTTCATTTTAATAAATACTACACTATATACCGAATTTTGGGCTCCTGTGGTGAGTAATTCTCTTTAGGAGAAATCCCTCTTTCGGTTTGCAGTTCTATTAGTGTTTGGTGGAGAAGTCCGGTGTGCACTTTAAGGGTCATTGAGATCTCCGACTATGTAATCAACATTAATGCTACTTACCAGTACACCATAGTCAAAACCCAACATCAGTTTGATCCTGCTAACCATTGGAAAATCGGTCCCAATGTGTTACTAAACCCACAACAGTAAAATCAGTCTGTATATGCTGTAAAGCATGCTTGTCATACTCACTGTGGAACCCAAGGGGTTAATCCTCAGCATTGTGTAAAAGGATGTTTGATCCTGTCTTCTCTGATCCTACCCTTCTTCCACTGTCCCCCAGTCCATCTGCTGATAGAACAGAGCATTGGGGGCAAGCTGCACATGCTCAGTTTTGTGTGTACTGCTAGAAAAGGGTTTTTTTTGTGGGCGGATGCATGTGATAAGGACAGGGCCAATCAGCACTGTCCAGACAGAGGGTATGCAATCTCATAGGGCAATAAGAGAATGAAAACTCCTGCTACAATCTTTAACCAGTGCTCTGCTGGACACTGATAGAAATCACAATATTGCTATATACTGCTGATGAGAAAAGGTATTTAGCAGTTTATATTTGCTAAAATAATTGCATTTCAATGTTCTTTGTACTGTGGGAGACCAGATATAGTGAATGCAGGGTCTGGGGTTTAGAAACACGATAAAATTAAAATTTCTAATTAAATTCTACTAGTGGTTACTGATAACAGAGAACAATGTAACTGAAAGCAGTCAGAAGAGTACAGGAAGTTATCAGCTCTCTGGATTTATTGCAGAATTTAAGTCCTCATACACACTGGACATTTTTACAGCGGATGTTTTTGGCTTTTGACGGGTTTTTTTCTACAACCAGTAAACGCCCCAGCAGGTTATCCTATGTGTCCATGTACACAGACTGTAATCAGCATTTTTTTTTTTGCTGGAAAAAAACCCAGAACTAGTGGGTTTGTAGAGTTTTTTAGCTTTAAAAATGCTCTAACCCTGAAAAACGCGGTAAAGCATGACAAAACAGCGTTTTTGGACTTTCTTTGAGCAAAAGAAAAAAAAAAACACAAAATGCGAATAAACACGGCTAAATGCTAATGCAAAAACGCTAAAAACCACTGAAAAACTCATGATTGTAATGTGACTTTACACAGCTATTGATATCAGCATTACTAAAACGCCCCGTGGGCATGGAGCCTTAAGTTCTTTTTTTGTACCTATCAAGCACTTTAAAGTGCACAGTTCATTCATTCATCTCAGCATTGCTGAAATTATACACTGTGCTACGAGTAATATCCATAATACAGAGAAGGGTGTGAGGACGGAGACACTTGTTGCTGCATCCAGAAAAGGAAGGCTTTGTGGCTGAATGCCAGAGATCTCACCACCTAAAACATGTGGATAGCCAATGGATGATTCAGACCCACAAATATACACAATATATCAGCAGTGGGTAGACTGTTCCTTCAACCTATCCTTGGCTTTCTCATTACACCCAGAACCACTACCGCTGTAAACTGTGCGGATCTACTCCATTCACACCTTCTTACAGCAATCCTTGTTGGTTACATGTGCGTCCATTCATCATATTCTGCACTTGCTTCACTAAAACAATTTCCAAGCAAGAAGCCAGAGGCGTCCTAAAAATATATTATCCTTAAAAAGGGACCTGTTGCTGGACATTTATTTCAAAATCAATCTTCTCATAAGAATTTTAGCCTATTTTAGTTAAAGTGTTACTAAACCCAGGAGCCTGTATTCACTATATCTGGTCTTCCACAGTAAACACAGAACATGGAAATGCAATGATTTTAGTAAATATAAACTGCTAAATACATTTTCTGATCTGCAGTCTTGTGACTTCTGTCAGTGTCCAGCAGAGCATATGTTACAGCTTGTAGGAGGAGTTTTCATTCTCCCGATTGTTCTATGAACCTGCATGATCCCTAACCTTCTGGACAGTGCTGACTGGCCCTGTGCTGATCACATGCACCCACCCAAGAAAACAAAAACGCTCTAGCAATACACACCAAACTGAACATGTGCAGCTTGCCCCCAAGGCTCTGTTCTATCAGCATATGGATTAGGGACTGTGGAAGAAGGGGAGGATCAGAGAAGACAGAATCAAACAGCCTTTTTACACAATGCAAAAAATTATCCCCTTAGATTCCACAGTGAGTATATCGAGCATGCGTTATTGCATATACAGACTGATTTTACTGTTGTGGGTTTGGTGGAAAAATAGAACTGAACCCCTAAGGTTATCTTATTGATATTGTTATCCTAAAGTATAGATGTAAATAATCTGGTTTCTGGGCAGGCGGCTTCCACATGCCAGAGGATCTCTACAGTCTCCTTGACTTGTAATGTAACAATTGAAGCACCAAACCACTGCTACAATTTCCAGATATGACTTTATTCAAATAAAAGTCAGGGAGACAATCCAAAGAGTAGCCAACACATTTTGTGGGTCCAAAACCACCCCCTTCATCAGGGCTTGAAATTATAAACAAGATAAATGGACTAAAAGGGAACTGGACCTTTAAGGATGTGATTACAAGCACTGGTCTTTTCAGCAGCTTATTTGTTATTAACCTGTAAAATCCTTCCTTGTGTAGACATTTAAAAGCCCTAAAACCACTGCTGGGTGACGCCGTCGTAGGCTGGGTCCACACTTAAGTGGCTCTGTGAGCTGTGTTTGCGCAGGCACAATTTTCCGTCACCTTTTTTAAAATGCAAGAGAAAAATTCCCAGCTCAACTTACCGACCAGCCTGCAACCAACCGAACTGTCCGGTCTAACGGGTTCTGTTTGCAAACACATGCGCAAGCTGCAGAGCCTCTTCATGGCACCCCGATATTCTGCAGTTCCTTACTCTATAAATGAGGGAGCTCACCTGACCTCAGTCTATCCATTGTGATACATCTGCTTCTACTATGGAGGCTCTCAAAATTTATATTGTTAGAAACTGCAGAATATGGGGGTGCTGTGAAGAGGCTCTGCAGCTTACACATGTATTTGCAAATATTTGCAAATATTTGCTAATTAAACCCCTGTTTTTAATGCAAACTGTTAGACGGGACAATTCGGCTGCATCCAATTAAATTTGTAAAGTATTGTGCAAACTGTTGGCGCTATATAAGGCTAGGTTCAGACATATGCAGTGCAAATTCCTTCAGTTTTCTAATGGGAGTCAGTGAACAGCTACAGTGCGAATCATCTACAGTTTTACTTGAATACCAACGTGTTTTCCATGTGATTTTGGTACAGCTGCATTTTTGTATCTCACTTTGTGTACACTGTGTGTGCGCTCTCTCTCTCTCTCTCACATGACCCTTTTTCAAAATGCACTGTCGCTGGACTGCATATATGTGAACAACCTCCACAGGAAAGCATTTTATTTCTCATCTGATGCAAAGCACTGCCCTTCAAAAATCATCCAAAAATGCATCTGTGTGAACTATGGCTAAAAAACCTGTATTATAGTATTAATAATAATTAATAATATTAATAATTAAGAGTTGGTTCTGGCCAGCTCAGTGGATTGCTTTAAAAAAGACCTGGATTATTTCTTAGATACACAGAATATAACTGGAAACTAACATTTATAGGTAAAGTTGATCCAGGGAATATCTGATGGCCTCTCAGGGGATCAGGAAGGAATTGTTTCCCCCACAGGAGCAAACTGGATCATGCTTTGCTGGGTTTTTTGCCTTCCTCTGGATCAACTGTGGGTATACGATTGTGACTTTTTTTTTTTTTTGATGGTTGAACTGGATGGACTTTTGTCTTTTTTCGGCCAGACTAACTATGTAACTGTGTAATAATAATAATAATAATAATAATAATAATAATATAATAAATAATCAGACCAAGAACAAACACTAACTAATCCAGTCAATAATAAAGAAAAGAAAATATCCAACTAAAGTATTCTTTACATTAGGGGACTCCAAACGTTTCAAACAAATGGACAGTTTACTGTCCTTCAGAATTTAGGGGGGCCGGATTGTGACCAGTGGGGGTAGAAAATGTCCCGGGCCGAGAATAAACATGACCTCAGGGTTGGTGTTCAGTAGGAGGAGGAGTAGTGCCCCATCATTGGTATTAGTGGGATGAATAGTTCCCACCATTGGTATCTGTTCTGACTCAACTACAAGACCATAAACTTTTGTCTCCAGCGATGTATACAGCTATAGGATGTGGTGTTGAATCTATCTCTTGCATCAGGTCAGACAGTTTAACTCAATGAATAAACTCACATGTTGAGGAAGTCAGATGAGGAAACCCATTTGAATGTTGCATTTAATGGAGGATAATCATAGGTAGAAAAATGTTAATGTTGTAAGCCTTATGGAAAGATGCATTCAGGTAGACAGGATACAGTGAAATAAGGACAGAGAGGCAGGGGGGGAGGGGTATACACAAGTACAGAGAGAGAAAGAGCTCAGCTTAGACAGGAGAAGACAGCTTAAAGACACAGAGCAATGATAAACAAGTAATGGTCACAGAGAAACAATAATAAACCAAATAGTGCAACACAACAGTATCAGTGGAAGAATGGTGTCCCATTGTTGGTGTCAGAAGGAGGAATAGTGCTCAATCTTTGATACTAGTGGGAGGAATAGTGCCCCATAATTAGTGTCAGTGGCAGAAATTATGCCCCACTGTTGCTGTCAGTGGGAGGAATAGTGCCCCATCACTGGTAACAGTGATCAGGAATTATGCCCCACTGTTCGTATCAGTGGAAAAAGAGTGCACCATTGTTGGTGTCAGTAGGAGAAATAGTGCCTGATCATTGATACTAGTGGGAAGATTGGGGCCCATAATTAGTGGCAGGAATTATGCCCCACTGGTAACAGTGGAAGAATAGTGTCCCATTTTCTGTGTCAGTGGGAGGAATAGTGTCCCATGGTTGATGTCAGTGGGAGCAATAGTGTCCCATGGTTGATGTCAGTGGGAGGAATAGTGTCCCATCATTGGTATCAGTGGGAGGAATAGTGTCCCATCAATGTATACTACTGGGAGGAATAGTGCCCCCATCATTAGTGTCAGTGGCAGGAATTATTCCACACTGTTGGTGTCAGTGGGAGGAATAGTGCCCCATCAATGATACTACTGGGAGGAATAGTGCCACATATCATTAGTGTCAGTGGCAGGAATGACTCCACAATGTTGGTGTCAGTGGGAGGAATAGTGCCCCATCAATGATACCAGTGGGAGGAATAGTGCCCCCATCAATAGTGTCAGTGGCAAGAATTACTCCACACTGTTGGTGTCAGTGGGAAGAATAATACCCCATCACGGATACTAATTGGAGGAACAGTGCCTCATATTACTGGGAGGAAAAGTGTCCCAAGGATCAGATAAAGGCTAGTAAAGGGCCACATCCGGCCCTCGGGCCACAGTTTGGAGACCACTGCTTTACATAATTACCAAATAAATAATGTATCAGATCGGCCACTTTTAAAATCTGCTACATTTTCATTGAAAAGAGTCGGTATGATTTACCTAATTACCAAATAAATAATGCATTACTTCACTCTGCAACCACAAACCCCAAATCAGGAATGTTCCAGTGACCCATTAGACATCACAGGCTATCTGAAAGTTACATACAAATGAGGCTTCTACAAGTACATCAGATTTCTTAAAAGTCTCAGTCACTGACTCAATACAAAGTCAGCAAGTCATCTGCTACTCACCACAAATTATGTAACGCAATGACATCCATGACGATTCAACAATAATAAATTATACTACGCATGCATGTGCTAAATAATGGAATAACTAAAAATGTTATCCCTATGCTTCTTATTATCTGGAGAAAAGCTAGAGGAAAGTGTAGCAGATTGCAGTGTAGCAGAATCCTGAAACATCTTCTTAAACCAACATAAATATTAAATGCGTGCTTATGAAATAAGTAAAGTTCATCATTCTATACACATTCACAGATGGCACTTTTCATACAAAATTATCACACAATAACCATGATTAAGGAATGAATCGTCATTGGGGATCCAAAAAAGGACAATTCCATAGATTCCAAGAAGCATAGCATGTCAATCCTTTATTTATATTATATATATGGCAATCCTGTAGATATAGTTTGTATACAGTGATCCTATAGTTGTAGTATGTACCTAGTGATCCTACAGTAATGTATACAGCCATCCTTAGGTTCTAGTACAGCAATGGGCAAACTACGGCCCGCGGGCCGTATACGGCCCGGCGGACCTTTAAATCTGGCCCGTGGAGCGTGATACTGTCAGGATGGCTGTCAGGATGTGTGTAGGCGAAGCAGCGTGATGAACGTGAGGGGAGCTAGGTTCCTCTCACAGTCCGCCCTGAAGACCGGAACGGCGCGGGAACATAGCGAGAGGAATGCGCGGAGCAAAGGTAAGTGAATTGAATTACTATATGGGGGATGAATTACTATATGGGGGATGAATTACTATATGGGGGATGAATTAATATGGGGGAATAACATATATATTAATTATATGGGGGATGAATTACTATGGGGGATGAATTACTATGGGGGGGATGAATTACTATATGGGGGATTCATTACTATGGGGGATGAATTACTATATGGGGGATGAATTACTATATGGGGGATGAATTACTATATGGGGGATGAATTACTATATGGGGGATGAATTACTATATGGGGGATGAATTACTATGGGGGATTCATTACTATATGGGGGATTCATTACTATGGGGGATGAATTACTATATGGGGGATGAATTACTATATGGGGGATGAATTACTATATGGGGGATGAATTACTATGCTTACTATGGGGGATTAATTACTATGCTTACTATGGATGACACATACACATCATTAATCTACTCTTGGTCTGGCCCCCGGGTCCAATATATGAACCCATTGCGGCCCTCAAGTCAAAAAGTTTGCCCACCCCTGTTCTAGTACCTATACAGTCATACTATGGTTCTAGTATATATACAGCTATCCTATAGTTATTGTATATACACACAGTACAGCCATCCTATAGTTATTGTATATACACAGTACAGCCATCCTATAGTTATTGTATATATACACAGTACAGCCATCCTATAGTTATTGTATATATACACAGTACAGCCATCCTATAGTGATTGTATATATACACAGTACAGCCATCCTATAGTTATTGTATATATACACAGTACAGCCATCCTATAGTTATTGTATATATACACAGTACAGCCATCCTATAGTTATTGTATATATACACAGTACAGCCATCCTATAGTGATTGTATATATACACAGTACAGCCATCCTATAGTGATTGTATATATACACAGTACAGCCATCCTATAGTGATTGTATATACACAGTACAGCCATCCTATAGTGATTGTATATATACACAGTACAGCCATCCTATAGTGATTGTATATACACAGTACAGCCATCCTATAGTGATTGTATATATACACAGTACAGCCATCCTATAGTGATTGTATATATACACAGTACAGCCATCCTATAGTGATTGTGTATATATACAGTACAGCCATCCTATAGTGATTGTATATATATACAGTACAGCCATCCTATAGTTATTGTATATATACACAGTACAGCCATCCTATAGTTATTGTATATATACACAGTACAGCCATCCTATAGTTATTGTATATACACAGTACAGCCATCCTATAGTTATTGTATATATACAGTACAGTCATCCTATAGTGATTGTATATATACACAGTACAGCCATCCTATAGTGATTGTATATACACAGTACAGCCATCCTATAGTGATTGTATATACACAGTACAGCCATCCTATAGTGATTGTATATATACACAGTACAGCCATCCTATAGTGATTGTATATACACAGTACAGCCATCCTATAGTGATTGTATATATACACAGTACAGCCATCCTATAGTGATTGTATATATACACAGTACAGCCATCCTATAGTGATTGTATATATACACAGTACAGCCATCCTATAGTGATTGTATATATACACAGTACAGCCATCCTATAGTGATTGTATATATACAGTACAGCCATCCTATAGTGATTGTATATATACACAGTACAGTCATCCTATAGTGATTGTATATATACAGTACAGCCATCCTATAGTTATTGTATATATACACAGTACAGCCATCCTATAGTGATTGTATATATACAGTACAGTCATCCTATAGTTATTGTATATACACAGTACAGCCATCCTATAGTTATTTGTATATACACAGTACAGCCATCCTATAGTGATTGTATATATACAGTACAGCCATCCTATAGTTATTGTATATATATACAGTATACAGCCATCCTATAGTTATTGTATATATACACACAGTACAGTCATCCTATAGTTATTGTATATATACAGTACAGTCATCCTATAGTGATTGTATATATACACAGTACAGCCATCCTATAGTTATTGTATATATACACAGTATCCTATAGTTATTGTATATATACACATCAGCTATAGTTATTGTATATATACACAGTACAGTCATCCTATAGTTATTGTATATATACACAGTACAGTCATCCTATAGTTATTGTATATATACACAGTACAGTCATCCTATAGTTATTGTATATACACAGTACAGCCATCCTATAGTGATTGTATATATACACAGTACAGCCATCCTATAGTTAGTTATTGTATATATACAGTACAGTCATCCTATAGTTATTGTATATATACACAGTACAGCCATCCTATAGTTATTGTATATATACACAGTACAGTCATCCTATAGTTATTGTATATACACAGTACAGCCATCCTATAGTGATTGTATATACACAGTACAGCCATCCTATAGTGATTGTATATACACAGTACAGTCATCCTATAGTTATTGTATATATACACAGTACAGCCATCCTATAGTGATTGTATATATACACAGTACAGCCATCCTATAGTGATTGTATATATACACAGTACAGTCATCCTATAGTTATTGTATATATACAGTACAGCCATCCTATAGTGATTGTATATATACACAGTACAGCCATCCTATAGTGATTGTATATATACACAGTACAGCCATCCTATAGTTATTGTATATATACAGTACAGCCATCCTATATTATTGTAGGTGCACAGCCATTCTATAGTTACCCAGGTACTAGCATTCTAAATGGCAGGCAGATTTCTTGCAGACCTGGTGTATCTAAACTCTATCCCTGCTAATTTGGAGGAGCAAGATCAACAGCACACATATGTACAGATTTCATAAAACAGATTGTTTTTACCTTCGTAAGCTCCCTTTCAATAAACAAGAACATCAAAAAGGATTTGGCTACATTCAGGGCTCATTCACATGGGTGGACAAGAGGGAAAGAGTAAAAATAGGCTGTTGAGCCAAGGTTTTACTGCCCCTCATCCACTCCTTTTAATCTGCAACAGCAGCTGGATGGAGTTGTACACATAAAGTGGCAAAGATTATACCTATGTTGCATTCAGTGGGTAAGGCCGCCGCCAAACATGACCCACTCAAGTGAATAGGGCCTCCCAGCAACCGCAATGCAATTGCATCAGGGTGGTGCGGGCTTTTCAGGGTTACAATGTGCAGCAAGGAAGAGGGCCATCTGCCCTCCACGGTGGATCGTTTTTCAGAGCGGTGGCACAGGCTGTCACAACTGAGAGTGTACCCTTACACCGTCTCCTGCGTTGGTTCATTGAAATGTTAGTGAGATTATATCAGACATACAAACAAATCTTACGCTTCCCAGGTCAAGTTCTTCGGAGTTAAAATATACCGTTCATGTGTTTAGACACGTTCAGAGTATGTAACCTGCCCCTGGACTTCTAATTTCTCTAAACACAGCCAAACTGAATGAACCTGTACGCAGGTAAATGAACAGTGTGACTAATGATAGGTTCACTTGTACATTTGCATTTTCATGCTTTTTAATGCATTTTTCATGCGTCATGCATATTTTGCTTGGCCATGGAAAGACAAGTCGAGTTTTCTGGGGGGTGAGGGAATGTTGTCATGAACTAAAATGCAGTCTATGGGGTCAAAAACGATCATGTATGCACCAAAAAGGCACCTGCACTACTGTTCGCAGTGCACAGGTATGAATGGACCCCATAAAACTGCATTGCAACTCTCTTATCATGCATTAAGCTGGCCATACATGATACAATTTTCTTATTCAATTTCCTTTAAATTTGTATACAATCAGACAGGCCCTTGCACTACATAGTAGAAGGTAAATCTAAAGTGTTTAGGTTTGACCTCATATTATATGATTTTGGTAGCTCTAAAGGAAAATTGTACAAGGTGCACATGGAGCCTTAGTCCTCACTCACACCCAGGGGCGGACTGACCATTTGGAAACTTGGGCACTGCCCGAGGGCCCGGGGTCAGTAGGGAGCCCCATGAGATGCCCCTGGTACCTTTTTCATAGGCTTTTTTGAGTTTGGGCAAGGACACAGGGGCCCCATGATCCCCTATTGCCCGGAGGCCCCATGAGTTGTCAGTCCGCCCCTGCTCACACCTGTGCAATTTGTTGTGCAATGCAGAGGAGTCCCATTATTGTCAATGGGGCTTATTCACACCTATGCAATACGTTTCCATGTGATCTGGAAAAAGGTGCCCAGCCGTATATATTTGATGCAAAATAGTACTTTTTGCCCTCCATATTCTTCAATAGCAGAGCATGAAAGACAAAAAAAATGCATAAAAGTAAAAAATACACAAAAAAGCAGATGCACAAGAGTGCGTGAACCTACCTTTGTACCACTGAAAATCATTACATACATTTATACACATTTAGAAATAAAGGCTTATAAACACATGTGTGAATGAGGCCTTAGATAGCTAAAAAATGTTAAAAATGTATTCTAACACACTGAACATTTTTATGATGTATCTGGCTAAATGTACGCCAGGAAGAATTCCAGAGGCAACAATTTCCACAAACATTTCTTAAAGTGTTACTAGGACCCTGCATTCACTATATCTGGTCTCCCCGGACCCTGCATTCACTATATCTGGTCTCCCACAGTACACACAACATCGAAATGCAATTATTTTAGTAACTATAAACTGCTAAAGACCTTTTCTCCTCAGCAGTTAGAGCAGTCTTGTGACTTCTATCAGTGTCCCGCCAAGCACTAGCTAAAGCTTGTAGGAGGAGTTTTCTTTCTGCTCTAGGAGGATGCAGAACCCCTGACCTCTGTCTGGACAGTGCTGATTGGCCCTGTGCTGATCACATGCACTCTCCCAAGAAAAAAAAAAACCTCTCTAGAAATACACACCAAACTGAGCATTTGCAAAATGCCTACGGTTCAGTCTGTCTTATCAGGAGATAAGAGGTGGTCGCTTAAACAAGGGGAGGAACAGAACAATCAGGATCAAATGGCCTTTTTGCACAATGCAGAAGATTAACCCCTTAGGTTCCACAGTGAGTGTAACAAGCATGCTTTACTTCATATACAGACTGATTTTACTGTTGTGGGTTTAGTAACACTTTCAGACAGTTGGCAATTATTCGCATTACACAAGACAGAGGATTTACTCATTTGTAACCAGGGGCGGACTGACCATTTGGAAACTCAGGCACTGCCCGAGAGCTGCCCCTGGTACCTTTTTCATAGGCTTTTTTGAGTTTGGGCAAGGACACAGGGGCCCCATGATCCCCTATTGCCCGGGGGCCCCATGAGTTGTCAGTCCGCCCCTGTTTGTAACGCACTATCGTCCCCAGGAGCGCTTAGCAAAAAATGTCACAAAATATGAGTACTAACGATCCATCAACAAGTACACAGCACTTCCTAGGGGGACATATACAGAATACCATCAAGATAAAACATCAGAACAATCAAAGCTTAGAGGCACCAAGCCAGAAACAATAGCTATGACTTTCTCAATGTATGGGAAAGTGTCCACACAACTGTCAGCATTATCAACACACAGAAAAGAGAAAGAGGTGGGATTTTATATGGTGCTACATCCTCAGGAGTCAACACAACTACAAAATATAGAATAAAAACAATACACTTTACTGTGAATAAAAAATTGTCCAGCCCCTTTCACACAGGCGTTCCGTTTGTTTCATCAGTTCAGTCACATTTTTTTCAAAGAAAAGATGGATTCAGTTTACATAAATTTTTACATTCACTACCAATGCAAAAATGAATCATTTGTTTATTAAGTACTGATATAGAGCTGTCAATTTACGCAGCGCTTTACATATATACAGTCATGGCCGAAATTGTTGGCACCCTTGATATTTTTCCTGAAAATCAAGTATTTCACACAAAAAAGGTATTGCATTAACACATGTTTTGCTATACACATGTTTATTCCCTTTGTATGTATTGGAACAAATATAAAACAGAGGCAGAAAAGCAAATATGACATAATGTCACACAAAACCCCAAAAATGGGCTGGACAAAAGTATTGGCACCCTTAACTTAATATTTGGTTGCACACCCTTTGGAAAACATAACTGAAATCAGTCGCTTCCTATAACCATCAATAAGCTTCTGACACCTCTCACCCGGAATTTTGGACCACTCTTCCTTTGCAAACAGCTCCAGGTCTCTCTTATTGGAAGGACACCTTTTCCCAACAGCAATTTTAAGATCTCTCCACAGGTGTTCAATGGGATTTAGATCTGGGCTCATTGCTGGCCACTTCAGAACTCTCCAGCGCTTCTTTGCCATCCATTTCTGAGTGCTTTTTGACGTATGTTTGGGGTCATTGTCCTGCTGGAAGACCCAGGATCTTGGACGCAAACCCAGCTTTCTGACACTGGGCCCTACAGTGCGACCCAAAATCCTTTGGTAATCCTCAGATTTCATGATGCCTTGCACACAGTCAAGGCACCCAGTGCCAGAGGCAGCAAAACAACCCCAAAACATCATTGAACCTCCACCATATTTTACCGTAGGTACTGTGTTTTGTTCTTTGTAGGCCTCATTCCGTTTTCGGTAAACAGTAGAATGATGTGCTTTACCGAAAAGCTCTATCTTGGTCTCATCTGTCCACAAGACGTTTTCCCAGAAGGCTTTTGGCTTACTCAAGTACATTTTGGCAAACTGTAGTCTTGCTTTTTTATGTCTCTGTGTCAGCAGTGGGGTCCTCCTGGGTCTCCTGCCATAGCGTTTCATTTCATTTAAATGTCGACGGATAGTTCGCGCTGACACTGATGCTCCCTGAGCCTGCAGGACAGCTTGAATGTCTTTGGAACATGTTTGGGGCTGCTTATCCACCATCCGGACTATTCTGCGTTGCAATCTTTCATCAATTTTCCTCATCCGTCCACGACCAGGGAGATTAGCTACAGTGCCATGGGTTGCAAACTTCTTGATAATGTTGCGCACTGTGGACAAAGGCAAATCTAGTTCTCTGGAGATGGACTTGTAACCTTGAGATTGTTGATATTTTGCCACAATTTTGGTTCTCAGGTCCTCAGACAGTTCTCGTCTCCTCTTTCTGTTGTCCATGCTTAGTGTGGCACAGACAGACACACAATGCAAAGGTTAAGTGAACGTCTCTCCTTTTTATCTGCTTTCAGGTGTGATTTCTATATTGCCCACACCTGTTACTTGCCCCAGGTGAGTTTACAGGAGCATCACATGCTTGTAACATTCTTATTTTCCGCAGTTGTGAAAGGGTGCCAATACTTTTGTCCAGCCCATTTTTGGAGGTTTGTGTGACATTATGTCGAATTTGCTTTCTTTCCTCCCTTTTTTTGTTTTGTCCCAATACACACAAAGGGAATAAACATGTGTATAGCAAAACATGTGTTAATGCAATACGTTTCGTGAGAAATACATGATTTCCTGGAGAAATATCAAGGGTGCCAACAATTTCGGCCATGACTGTATATATTGTACATTCACATCAGTCCCTAACCCTCAGATCCAGATCCTAACCCCCAAAATGTAAAAAAAAGAAAAATTAAAAGAAATAAAAAAAAGAAAACAGGAATGCATATACAGAGGATGGACCAATATGGATGACATTCACATCAAATACTCATGTTAGCGAATGCAATAGCTTTCAATTTTTTAGCAATAGCAAACCTTTGTAAAAGTCAGCTTCATGCTAGTTTGTGCCCTTGTCAACCTGACTTATTTCAGGTACTTATATAGTGCTATTAATTTACGCAGTGCTTTACGTATATATTGTACATTCACATCAGTCCCTAATCCTGAGGCTAGGTTCACACTGATGCGGTGCGATACGTCGCATGTGATTCGCACAAGAACCGCTCCGCATTCCTGTGCAAATCACAGGCGATTTGTGTGCGGTGCGATTGGAGCCATACTTTAGGTATGGCACTAATCGCACCGCACCCTCAACAAAAATGTGCAGGACCCTTTTTTGGGTCAGCACTTGAATCGGATCGCATGGGTATTCACACCTATGCGATCCGATTCTGCACATCGCACCGTGTTTTGTGGACCAATTTCGGGTGTTGTTAACATAACATACACACTCGCATCAGTTCACATAAACAGGGTGCAATTCTGATGCAGCGTGGAATTCGCACAGAAAATGCTGCGAATCCCGCACCACATCAGTGTGAACCCAGCGTCAAGAGCGTGCAATCTAAGGTCCCTAACTTACATTCATACACACACATACTAGGGCCAATTTAGACAGGAGCCAATTAACCTCATGTCTTTGGAGTGTGGGAGGAAGCCAGAGTACGTGGAGGAAACCCACAAAGGCACAGGGAGAACATGCAAACTCCAGGCAGGTGGTGCCGTGGTTGGGATTCAAACCAGCGACCCTAGTACTTAAATCCATTTTTCGTCTCTTCCGGTTTTTTTTGTTTTTATTTAACAGAACAAAAATAAGGCTTTGATCCATGTCAAAGAACGAATGTTGACGGATGTGGATGTAAATGGATGATCATCTGTTTACATCCGTTTTTCCATAGAGATCCATTGATGTTTGTTTTTCATCCATCAACAGATGGTTGAAAAATAGACAAAACGGAATACCTGTGTGAAGAAGGCCTTAAAAGCCAACAATCAATCATATGCCTGATGATATCCACAGCACTGTGGTTAGCACTTCCACCTAGCAGCATTAGAGTTGTTGGTTTGAATCCCAACCACGGCACCACCTGCCTGGAGTCTGCATGTTCTCCCTGTGCCTGCACGGGGTTTCCTCCAGAACTCTGGTTTCCTTCCACACTCCAAAGACATGCTGGTAGGTTAATTGACCCTAGTTTGTGTATGTATGAATGTGAGTTAGGGACCTTAGATTGTACGCCCCTTGAGGGTTAGGGTAAGATGTGAATGTACAATATATATGTAAAGTGCTGTGTAAATTGACGGCGCAATATAAGTACCTGAAATAATAATAATATCCCAAAAAGGGCATAGGTTTTACAATATAAATATTCTCCCTAACAGACCAGAACCAACTTTTGAACCCTATTGTACTTTGCACAAACCAAGTATGATGACCCAAAATAACAGTTGGGCAGCACAGTGGCTAAATGGTTAGCATTTCTGCCTGGCAGTACTAGGGTCGTTGGTTCGAATCCCAGCCACGGCACCTCCTGCCTGGAGTTTGCATGTTCTCCCTGTGCCTGTATGGGTTTCCTCCAGGTACTCCAGTTTCCTCCCACACTCCAAAGACATGCTAGTAGCTGAACTGGCTTCTGTCTAAATTGTCCCTAGTATGTGTAAGTATGGATGTAAGTTAAGGACCTTAGATTGTACGCCTCTTGAGGGCTAGGGACTGATGTGAATGTACAATATATATGTAAAGTGCTGCGTAAATTGATGGCGCTATATAAGTACCTGAAATAAATAAATAAAATAAACAGTCTTTAAAATATGGAGCCACTGGGGTGTATTTACTAAAACTGGAGAGTGCAAAATCTGGAGCAGCTCTTCATAGAGACCAATCAGCTTCCAGGATTTATTGTCAAAGTTCAAACTGAATAAGCTGAAGTTAGAAGCTGATTGGCTACCATGCCCAGTTGCACCAGATTTTGCACTCTCCAGCTTTAGTAAATCAACCCCTTGGAATCTGTGGGATGTATAAATTAGTCTCAACACATTTCGTGATTGAACATTTCTTCAGGAGACCATGAGGTGAAGAGTAAATGGAAAAACCAAGTAAGAGCGTTAGAAGATGCTGTATGATGTCCAGGGGGTGGAAATGCGACGTCCGGGGGGAGAAAATGCGATGCCCGGGGGGGTGGAAATGCGATGCCCGGGGGGTGGAAATGGGATGTCCAGGGGTGGAAATGGGATGTCCAAGGGGTGGAAATGGGATGTCCAGGGGGTGGAAATGGGATGTCCAGGGGGTGGAAATGGGATGTCCAGGGGGTGGAAATGGGATGTCCAGGGGGTGGAAATGGATGTCCAGGGGGTGGAAATGGGATGTCCAGGGGATGGAAATGGGATGTCCAGGGGGTGGAAATGGGATGTCCAGGGGGTGGAAATGCGAGGTCCAGGGGGTGGAAATGCGAGGTCCAGGGGGTGGAAATGCGAGGTCCAGGGGGTGGAAATGCGAGGTCCAGGGGGTGGAAATGCGAGGTCCAGGGGGTGGAAATGCGAGGTCCAGGGGTGGAAATGCGAGGTCCAGGGGGTGGAAATGCGAGGTCCAGGGGGTG